TGGTGGATCATGAGGTGTGGTGGACTGATGCTTCCTGTCGCGCACTGCTGAATGCTATCCTTCCGTAAACCCTTCCGCCTGTCCCCATCCCTCCCAACCGTTTTCTATTCCCAGGGATCCTCTGCCGTTCACGTGTCTGATCACCATGCTCCAGCGCGCCTGCCGCTCGCACGAGCTGCTCTCATTGGTGGAGCGAATGCGCGCGCTCGACGTGCCCCTGGACGCGTACACCCTCACCACCGCACTCGGCGCCGCAATGCGCGTTGCTGACGTGGTCGCCGCTGAAGCCATCTGGGCCGAAATGACCGCCTCGAGTCGCGCCGGAGCCGGCGGCGCTGGCGAGGCTGCTGCTGGTGCAGCCGTCGCCGCCGCCCCCTCTGCCGTCGCGTTCACGATGATGATGTCACTGTACGGCCGTGCCGGCCGCCTCGACGACGCGCTGCGAATGTTCCGCGAAATGAAGGCCGCGGGAGTCGCGCCGGACGGCAAGGCCTATTCCACCTTAATCGGCTCACTCGCGCGTGCGCTAAGAGCCGATGACGTCGAGGAATTAGTTCGTGAGATGACGGAGGGGGCTTCCGCCTCTCCCGCCGCCACCGGCGGCGCGTCTCCCTCGCAGCGCGTGCCGCCGTCGGTGTACACGAGCCTAGTCAGCATGTACGGCCGGCTGGGCCGGCTGGATGACGTGGCGCGCGTGCTGCGCGACATGCGCGCGCGCAAGGCGCAGGCGGAGCAGAGCCTGTTCGTGGAGGCGGTGAAGGGGTGCACTGTGGCGCAGCGCAAGGCCACCGCTGCGGCCGTCGCCGCGCAGCAAAGTGCCGGAAGCGGCGGTAAGCAGCAGATGGGAAAGAGGCTCGAGGAAGAGACGGGCGGTGGTAGCAGCAGTGGCAGTAGCAGCTGCGTTACGAGCAGCAGCAGCTCCAGTAGCCACGTCAGCATAGGAGGAAGCAGCAGCGGGAGCGACGACGGGAGTGATACTAGCAGTAGTGCTAGTAACGAGGAGATCTGTGCCCGCTCCATTAGTAGCACCAGCAGCGGAGCGGAGGGGGATGGGACGTCGGCGGCAGTGGCGCAAGCAGCAGGGGCGACGGCGGCGGCTGTGGCGGCAGTGGTGGCGGAAATGCGCCTGTTGGGCTGGCGCCCTGATCCCGCCCTCCTCCGCAACCTCCTCTCCGCGCCTTCCGCCCAGTCGTCCCTCCGCTCCTCCCCGCCCTCCCCGTCCGCGCAGGCAGGGGACGCGTCCGGGGAAGACGCAAGCGCAGGGGCAAGGGCGGGTGTGGGGGCAGCAGGGTTCGACAAGGGCGGGGAAAAGTCGAGGGGGACGGGGGCATGGCAGGTGCAGGCTCCGCAGGCGGGTGCGGGGAACAGGGTGGGCGGAACGAGCGGAGGGGGAATGAAGGGGCGGGGTGGGCAGCAATGGCGGGAAGGCAATGGCGGAAGAAACGGATGGGCGCAAGGCGGAGGAGGCGCAAACGGAGGCGGGGGAGGGGGAGCGGGAGAACGGGGAGGCGCGTCTGCGCCTGCCCAGTCCGAATACTCGTGGTTCTCGCGCATTCTGCAGTGCAAGCGGCAGAGGAACTTCCAGGAGGCAGCGCGGGTGTACGAGCGCATGCGGGCGGCGGGCGTGAAGCCGCAGCAGCAGACGCTGAGCCTGGCGATGGAGGTCATGGGCGAGCTGGGCAACGTGCAGGGCGCCGAACGCGCGCTCGAGGAGGCGGAGGCAGCTGGAACGCCTGTGGATATTGTGAGTTTGTCTGGGATTGTGGGTGCGTGCGTGCACGTGCGTGCGCGCGCGTGCACGTGTGTGCACGTGCTTGTATTTTATGGCTGGCGATGGAGGTGATGGGCGAGCTGGGCAACGTGCAGGGCGATTCTTCACATGCATTTTGAATGTAAATACGCTGCTGATTTTTGCTCCAGCAAACCAGCCCAATAGTGCAGTGCTAGTGAGTAAGTAATAACGACCTCACGCTCACCTCTCCCACCCCATCTGCCACTACCCACCCGACCCGACCAGGTGTGTTTCAACACGCTGCTGAACGTGTATGCCAAGGCAGGGCAGTCAAGCAGAGCCCAGACAGTGTTCACGCGCATGCAGGCGGCAGGGGTGACGCCCAACACGCGCTCACACACGGTGCTGCTCAAAGCGCTCTCCAAGGACGGCCGGGGCAAGGAGGCTGTTGCTGCCTTCCGAGCCATGGAGCGTGGCGGCTGCCATCTGGACGAGGTGAGCCACGGGTGCTAACTCCCCCCCCCCCCCCCTTGATAGTAACTCAACTAAGAGTTTGGCTCTGGGAGACCATCCTCAGGTGCACATCCTCAGGTACAGTGAGTTCTTTAATCTCCCCCACCCTTCACTCCCCCCTCCCTTCGTCCACAGATCGCCTACAACACGGTGATCAACGCGTGTGTCAACGACCCCCCAGTGGACGAAACCCTCCGCCTGCTTTTGAGTGACCCTAAACCCTAATTCCTCCCTTGCCACTCTCCTCTCCCCCCTCCCCTCGTCCACAGATCGCCTACAACACGGTGATCAATGCATGCGGCAACGACCTCCCGGTGGACGAGACCCTCCGCCTGCTCCGCGCCATGCGCCGCAGCGGCTACCGCCCCAACCTCGTCACGCGCAACCTCGTCCTCTCGCTCCTGGTCAAGGCCGGCCGCACGGCGGACGCCAGCGAGCTGTTTGAGGAGGCGAGGGCAGCAGGCGAGGAGGACGCGTTCATGTACTGCACCATGGCGCACGCGTTCGGAAGGAGGAGGGAGCTGGAGAGGATGGAGGGCGTGCTGGGGGATGCGGCGGCGCGAAGGATGGTGTCGCTGCCACTGCTGAATGCTTGTATGGACGCGTATGGGAAAGCGGGGCTGCTGGCGAATATGGAGACCTGCCTGGCGCGCATCCGCTCGTTTGACTTTGTGCCCAACCACACCAGGTAGGTTCGAGTCCCGCCATGTACTCGTACAGCATCCTCATCGGCACCTATGGGGATGGCGGCATGCCACGCATCTACTCACAACCCCCTCCCCTCTGTGCTACCCCCTATGCGCCCCCTCCCATCCTTCAGTTTCAACATAGTCATTCACGCCTACGTGAATGATCCCCGAAATGGAGGACGCACTGGCTCGCATGCGCCGCAGCGGCCTCCGTCCCGACGTGTACTCGTACAACATTCTCATCAGCGCGTATGGGGATGCGGGCATGCCGTGCACTAGCCCTGTACTCACAACCCCCTCCCCTCTGTGCCCCCTGCCCCTGCCTGTTGCCCCTGTCACCCCTGGATCCCTCCCCTACTCCAGTTTCAACATAGTGATTCACGCGTACGGCATGGCGGGCATGGTCCCCGAGATGGAGGACGCACTGGCTCGCATGCGCCGCAGCGGGCTGCGCCCCGACGTGTACTCGTACAACATTCTCATCGGTGCCTATGGGGATGCGGGCATGCCGTGGGCGTCAGTGGGCATGGTGCAGCACATGCATGCCGAGGGGCTGCTGCCGGATCAGGTCACCTACCAGAACCTGGTCTCTGCGTTTGAGCGCGCGGGGGATTTCCTGGAAGCTGCGCGCTGGTCCCTTTGGATGAAGCAGGCTGGCTTCTCCCCTTCCTCTGGTAAGCCCCACTCACTTGTCGCCCTCACTCTCTTCCTGGCTTCGTCACTCCTTTGCTCCTCACTCACTTGCTCCCTTCACTTACCGTGTGAGGTGCCTCTCTTGTGCCCCTATCAGCATAACAACTGCAGGGTCAGCAATTTCATAACTGATTCTTTCCTGCCTGCCCCCTCCCTGCTCCCTCCCTGCAGCTCCCAGCAACAGCAGTGCTGCGAGCAACGATGGGGGCAACGCTGGTGCCAATCGCAGCAGTGTTGGCAGCGGGGCCAAAAGTGCAGCAGGCAGCACCTCGAACCTGCCAGGAGCAGGGCAGCTGCCATCCGACCTGCTGTGATTGAGACGGGCAGTGACTGGGATGGGTGGTCGGGGTGACAAGGCAAGGGGGTTGGGAAGCGGCAGTGCTGCTGCTGGCAGTGGCGGCAGCGGGGCCAAGAGTGCAGCAGGCACCTCAAACCTGCCAGGAGCGGGGCAGCTGCCATCGGACCTGCTGTGATTGACACGAGACGGGCTGGTGGTAGGTCTGATGAGGCCTGACATGGGAGAGGAGGAGCTTCAATAGATAAATCTCTTTCGCCCATCATCAAAGCCCCCCCAAGAGGACAGAGACAGCCTTTGTGGGACCAAGCGGCTGTGCTAGACGATCACCCCATAGAGCTTGTTGGTTCGATTTGAGCAGCACGTGAAGTCGCAAGAGCATGCTAGGTGCACGACCCCTCGTTGTGCAAGGAGTAGGACAGACATGCTATCCTAGGCTTAGATGAAATAATAGCCGTGGAGTGAGGTTGTCAAACCAGCCCCTCTCTGCCTTGCTGTGTTGCCCCTCCGTGGGCCTTGTTGGCCTGCCTGTGTTGCTTTCCTTTCTTTGTGGCCTCACTTCCTTGGCCACTTTCCTTTCCATTGTTTTGCCCCCTTTGGCCTGCTGGGTGGAAATTGCCTCCTCTCCTGCTTTGCCTGCCTCTCTTGGCAACAGTGTAGGAAGAAGAAAAAGGGTTGTATGCCATACTGTAGATTTTGCTTGCACAAGCAATAGAGATCTTAGGTAGGCTAGAGTACAGTAGAGGTTTTACATGGTGATGTACTTGTTACAAAAAGTACATCAACATGGTTTGAAGAAAAAAATGTTTTTTTGGACTGCTTGCATGGCAAGTTTGTTTGAACCCTCTGCCAAGAAAACAATACTAGATCTTCAAACCAAACTATGTACTACAAGCCTGTACATACAAACCAAGTTGGCAACTTGAGTGTCGGTACCATACTAAGGTAGTACCCTCTAAGACCACCTCCATAGTCTACTACAGGCGTGTCACTGTAATCCTACCTACCACCTCAAAGCATCCTATATTCCTACCACTTTCACCAAAATCCACAAGCCTCTCCTCCTCCCTACACCAACCTACCCACCTCCGCAGGTGTGGCACGGCACATGCCCAGTGTCATCACAATGCGAGCATATCCGCATGCCGTAACTCGTCACCACCTTGTGGTTACCACCGCACTGCCGGCACGTAACCACCTTGCTCCCCCCACACGTCCCACACCCTGTCTTCCCCGCATCATCATCAGTAGTCGGCAACCCTTGGATTAACTCAGCTAAAAAGTAGTCGTCATACATCTGTAGTACAGTGTCCGCATCGCCGATGTAACGGCCGCAGATGAAGAGGCGCGGGACGGAGCCGGCGGCTGCTGCTGCTGCTTGGGATGCTGCTCCGGGTGCCATGAGCGTTTTGAGCTCTTGCCTGTATGAGACACGCATGGAGATGTCCCTCTCCTCGTATACCACTCGTAGGGCCTGGAAGGGGGGGGGAGGAGGGGAAGAGTGTGTTTAAGGTGCCTTAAAACGAGACGCGCATGGAGATGTCTGCTCGTAGTGTTCCTCGTACACCACTCATAGTGCCTGCACGGGAAAGGTATGGATGGAGAGTGTATACGAGGCACATGGCACAGGCTGCATGGCACGTGGTGCAGTGCAGGCTGCTGAGCGCTTTGAGCTCCTGTCGGCACGAGACGCGCATGGAGATGTCCCTCTCCTCATAGCCCACTCGTAGGGCCTGCAGGGGGAAGGTATGGAAAGAAGGCGTATGATCAGTTGAGAGGATCCTCCCGAGCGATGTGCATGGAGATGTCCCTCTCCTCGTACACCACCCATAGGGCCTGCAGGGGAAGGGCGGAGGGGAGTGTGTTTCAGGGCCTCGTAAGAAGGGAGGGGGAGGTACAGGTTAGCACATGGCACATGGTATTTGACATATGGTACATGGCACATGGTATATGACATATGGTACATGGCACATGGTATATGACATATGGTACATGGCACATGGTATATGACATATGGTACATGGCACAGGGCACAGGGTGCATGGCACATGGGACATGGCGCATGGCGGATGGCACAAGGCAAAAGAAAAATCTAAAATTTTGCAAAACAAACAAGCAAGCCACCGTACCTGCAGCACGTTCTTCACTTTAACGCAGTCCTCAAAAGTTTTCCTCACCGCCCGAAGCGTGGTGGTATACACCACCACTGCGTCTGACCCGCCCGGCGGGCAGCGCTGTTCGAAACTTTCTAGCAGCTGAGACCGGGGAGGAGGGGGAGGGGGTCCGGGGGGAACAACCGGCTTTGCTTCTATCACCGGCTCCTCCTTCTTTGCTGCTACCTCCTCCCCTTTTGTTACTGCTGCATCCGCCTCCTTCCCTGCATCTCCTGCTGCTGCTCCTGCTGCCGCCTCTCCTTCTGCAGCGTTTGCTCCGTGCTCAGCGTCGGCTGCATTGGCAGAGGCCACAACAGCAGCCACCCATTTTCCACGCACCCCGCCGGCACCACTGGCAGCAGCAGCAGCGTCAGCAGCGGCGGCTGCTTCCAATTGAGCCGCCAGTCTCGCAACCAGCCCTCCCTTGACCACCTTCCTCTCTTCCTCAACTGCCTTCTTCCTTGCCGCCTCTGCTTCTGCTGCTGCTGCAGCCGTGGCAGCAGCCAGCAGAGTGGCGGCAGCAGCAGGAGCAGTAGCGGGAAGAGTAGTAGGTGAAGTAGATGGAGGGGCAGAAGGAGCGTTGGCAGCAGCAGAAGGAGGGGCAGTTTCGAGACAAGCAGAGGCGATAACTCTACCAGCAGCTTCCGATTTACCAGGTTCTGCTGAGTTGTTCACCCCACGGGCTGCTGCTATGTCTGCTGGTACGTCTGCTGATATATTTGCTGCGGCTCCAGTTCTCAATTGCGCTGTTAGTGGTGCAACTTGCACTGCAGATGCTGCCTGTGATGCATGTGCTTGCACGTGCTGTGCTGCTGCTGATGGCTCTGCTTTTGGCGCTGTTGCTACTGCTGCTGCTGCTGTTTGTGCTGCTCGTCCGGCTGGTGCTGCCCCTGGTGTTGGTGCTGCTGATGCTGGTGCTAATGCTGCTGGTGCTCTGGCAACATCAACCCTTCCACTGTCACTCCTGCCACTCTCACTCCGGCCACTGTCAACCCTGCCACTGTCAGCCCGGCCACTGTCACTCCGACCTCCATCAACCCTACCACCATCAAAGCTTCGCCTCACAGCACTGGGGTCTGTCAGCCGTCGTGGGGTGGGGCTGCTCCCCCCCCCGCGCAAGCTGCCTAGCCTGGGACTCGCCGCCCTGCCCGCCCCCCCTGCCACCTGCGCACCACCACCCCTGCCTGGCAGCACTGGAGCTGATGATGGGGTCGCTGATACGCCCGCCCCACCTGCTGCCATGCCTGATGCCCCGCCTGCTGCCCCATGCGCTGTCCTGCCAGCTGTCATGCCTGCAATCATTGGACTGGCTTGTCCCATTCCCACGCCCCTGCGCATGGGACTGACCCTGCCGCCGACCAAAGCAGCATGCATGGGGCTAACTCTGCCACCCACAAGAGAAGCATGCATGGGACTAACCCTGCCGCCCACCATAGCAGCTTGCATGGGACTGACTCTGCTGTTCGCCACGGCAGGGTGCATGGGGCTGGCGAGGGGGGTGATTCGCTGCCAGTCCGCCGCACTGTGCTGCTCCAAAGCCGCTTCCATAGCCTCCAGTAAATCCGGGTCAAATAGGAAATCGCCCACATCCACTCCCGCTCCCGCTCCCTCTCCCTCTCCTCCTCCCTCTCCCTCTCCCTCTCCCTCTTCTTCTTCCTCCTCCTCTCCCTCTTCCTCGTCCTCCTCTTCCTCCTTCCCCTTCCCCTCCTCAGCTTCTTGGTCTTTCCTGTTTGACCCTTGTTCGGGCACTCCCTCCTTCCTGGCAGCTTCCTTTCCTGCCCCCGGATCTGCGGCAGCATGCATGCCAGCACTCGCATGCACTCTCGTGCTTTGAGTCGACTCAGCACTCGCATGCACTCTCGTGCTTTGAGTCGACTCAGCACTCGCATGCACTCTCGTGCTTTGAGTCGACTCAGCACTCGCATGCACTCTAGTGCCTGCACTTTCCACTCTGCCCTCTGGAGGCTCACCTGTGCGACTTGAATTTTGAGGCGCCTCAAAAGTCGTGCCAGCACTCGCATGCGCTCTACTGCCTGCACCTTCCACTCTGCCTGCTGGAGGCTCCCCTGTGCGACCTGAGCGCCCGCCTGTGCCTCCTGATTGCGCGTATGTGCCTGCCACAATGGCGGCAATGGCTGCGGCATCGTCGACAGAGGCTGCTCTTGCGTCATCTGCTGCGGTTACTCTCTTTGTGCCCGCTCCCACAGCAACAGAGCGCGTGGCAGAGCCAGCACCAGCAGCAGCGCCCACACCAGCAGCAGTGCCAGCATCACCAGCAGCAATGCCAGCATCACCAGTAGCACCGTCCAAAGGTGCTACAACAGCCGAACTAGCAACATGGACCACCCCTACACCAGCAGCAGCACCACCCACAGCTGCTGCCGCCCCCTGCCCCCCACTCCCACTCGCATCAGCCCCTGCAGCACCCTTTGCTCCTTTCTTCTTCTTTGTCTTCTTGGGAGTCTTCTCCTCTCCTTCCTTCGTCCCCTTCACCCCCTTCTTCTTTTTCTTCTTCTTCTTCCCTGTCCCCCCTCCCGCCGCTGCTATTCCAGTAACCCCTTCCCCTTCCCCTCTGCCTGTATCTGCTCCTCCACCTCCCCCGCCCTCCTCATTCCCATCCAGCCCGGTCCCTTGGTCAGGGAGTAGGTTCAGCAGCAGCTGCTCCAGCGTCTGCTGGTACTCCCTCTCCCTGCGAAGGTCCTCTTCAAAGCTCGCCAGAACATCTGGATCGAAAATGAACTCCTCTGCACCGTCTTGCAAACCGTCTGCCATGTCAGCCCACTCACCTCCGTCCAACCCGGAAGCACCTAACAACTCTCCATTTTCCGCGTCCACGTCAGCACCGTCTCGCTGGTTTTCCGCGTCCAAGCCATCATCCCTCGCTGCTCCCTGAGTCGTTGCTTCTCCACCCTGTAACGCCTTCGCTGCCAAGGCGTCCTCTACTACAACTACAGCTGCTCCGTCAGCTGCTCCGTCAGCTGTTCCGTCAACTTCTCCGTGAACTGCTCCCTCAGCTGGCTCATAATTTCTCATAAAATCACCGTCTCTCTCTTCCCTGTCATCACCTGGCGCGGGTTGCTTCGATTCCGCCGCCGTTGCCGCAGCTGCCGAATCCCGCTTCTTCGGTTTCCCATGCATACTCACAGTCTTCGCTGGACCCTTTCCTCTGGACTGTCCGCGCCGCCCTTTCGTCGACGAAGCGGCACCATCGCCGTCGACGCGACTGCGGGGATCGGGCTTTGACTGGATGCATCCCATTTGGCGCGAATCGAGTGACTTCACGTACTGCGCGCGAGACGCGTCAGATTACAGATCATTTGAGACGTGGCAAGGATTGCGAAATTCGGACGTGTACGAAACGCATCCCATTCGGCAGGGTAAGTGCGTAGGGCCAGCTTAATTTTTTGCGTTTAGCAGGACAGTTACTGACATTCTGACGTATGCATTTCGTAGGGCCGGGAAACGAACGGTTGCGAGCGCGTGAAGCGTCAAGACACAGATAGTAGAGGGTATGTACGGTGGATACTGGAAGTGGTATGCGCAAACGTGTGGGCAACAATTTCCCTTGGCAGAGCTCTGAGCTTATGTAGAAGCAACAGGCAGCCTGGCAGCACAATTTGGAATGTGTGATTTGGGAAAGAAGCTGATTGGCGGGCAGCGCGTCAGGAAAATCCGGAGCCCCGTTTTTCCATTGTCACCACAAGTTTGGAGGGAAACTCGTGACAATGCCGAGGGAGGAAAGCAGAAGTCTGAACACTTGCACTGACGTGCTCACTGACAGCCCCTAGGTCTATCAGCAATGGTAACTCAGCGAGTCAAACTAGACGAAGAGTTTTGCGACATCCACGACAAACGACAGGGAAAGACAAGGTTTTTCGTTCGTCGCGAGGTGGGTTCTGCTTCAACTCGTCACGAACACGTCTCGTCAGAACATTCTCCCAGGAAACCGTACCGGACCATCTTGTTACTGCCACAACCGCTCTGTAACGTAAGTAAACGTATTGAAATCATATGAACCAGAGTACCTGAAGAAACATGATTTGAACACCAGAACACCCCTCGAGAATGCATCAGCGACTGAAGCGCCATGGACCAATTTTTGCCTTGAGAGTTTCGTGAAGATAGTTGATCCATGAATTAATGTTTTTGTTGCCGTGCTCGGTTCTCTTTCGAAAAGCATCAGTGGGTCCCACAGGCTAGCAACGTCACATTTTTTTTCCACCTTTTCAGCAATGGGCCTTGAGAGCGACTGCGTGCGCGCACTTCTTCCGTGAAACATCTTCGCAGAGAGACGAGCTTCGCAAATGCTGTACAGGAACGTTTGAAGCGAGATGGCACTTCACGCTGCTGACGACTTCGCACTGCTGCAGCGATCTAGGAAGTTGCCGTCAGTCCGACGCGTTACGGATCGCAGTGAAAGTAAACAGAACGCGGCTGGTCGAGTCATGCCTCCTATCAAGTCGAACCGTAAGCGAGTCAGGACATTTGACAAGCCAAACGGCGGCGGCGACGAGTCCCATTGCGAGGCCATGCCAAGCAGACGGAGAGGAAAAGGACGATCAGCGGGGAATGGATCTCAGGATGTTAGCAACGGTAACGATCCGCGAAATGATCCCCCCTCACTGGCGGCAACGGGGAGTACGACGGAGACAACACCAATTGCGAAAGTCAGATCGGTTTCACCGCAGCTTCTTCTGACAGATGCTCAGCGCGCTGCTGCTTTTCACGATCCCAGCGTCCCACTGCTCGTCGTCGCTGCTGCTGTGAGTGGGATATAGACGCCATGACTTGCTAGTGCTGCAAGTTCACTCTTGATTTATATGTGTACAGTCACTCGCAACCTCTGTGCACAGTCACTCGCTGCATTGCATATCCGTTCTTTGAGTATAATAAACGCGAATTGATGAGTCTATGGTGGAGTCCTTTCAGCTGACAACCAACTCAGCTCACCTCAGCTTGTGCTTCGCTTCGCCTAACATGCTTGTGTCTCGTCATGCTTGTGCGTCCACGCGTCTATGTGCTTTCAGGGTTCGGGAAAGACTTCAGTGATCTGCCACCGCATCATACACCTTATATCCCAGGTAACACCCACATTTTCGATTCTTAATACAGCAAACAGAACAATTACGAATGTGAATCTCTACAGCCTACGCTGATGCTCCAGTCCAGATCGCTGCAGCTCAAATAGTCAACGCATCTGTAGTTGTAACTGTCTAGCTCGTTTTCTCTGAATGCTACAGTGCACTACTGAATAAGTGTGTCCTTTTCCTCTCTCCATTCTCTTCCCCATGCTCCCTTCCATCCCTCTCCATCTCTCTCTATTGTTCCAGGGTGTCCCTCCCAATGAGATCCTCGCAGTCACAGTGAGTCACGGTACCACAGGTTGAGTCAAATGCATGTCCGCAATGTTCCAGCCTTTGATGCTCGCCTTGAAAAAATCGCTACTCAATCTTCAGTTTCTGTTTAATGCCGTTTCCATTAGTGCATCTCTGTTTCATGTTTTCCAGAATGGTGATGTTGGTCTGCAAGCTGGCCGCTGGTCTCTCTTTTCCCTTTCGCCTCCTCCTCCTCCCACGCCTCTTTCCCCCCTCCCCCTCCTCCTTCCCATTTCCTTCCCCCTCTGGTCCCTCTGTTATGACCCTATGTGTCCAATCTACGTCCACTCCCAAAACGTGTCCCCTCTCCTGCAGTTCACGAGGCGAGCGGGTCAGAGCCTAAGGCACCGACTGCACCAACTCGCAGCAGCAATCGAAGCGCATCGCTCCAACAACGCACAACTCTGCACTGATGTTTCCACCGGAGCTGCTGCCCGACCCTCATCTGGATCTGCAGCAGCGGTGGCAGCAGTAAGTGCAGCAGCGGTGGCAGCAGTGCGCATCTCCACCTTCCACTCCTTCTGCCTGCAGACCCTCAGGCAGTTTGCGCACCTGGCGGGCCTGCCTAAGGACTTCACCGTCTTCCCTCCCAAGATGCAGGTCCGCGCCCACTCCATGCCTCCCCATCTGCTCCGACCGCATTCTGTCCCGTCCTTTCTGGTCGACCTTCTTCAATCTTCTCCAATGCATTTCCTCTTTTGTAGCCTAGATTTTCCCCTCAAGATGCAGGACAGCGTGTTATTTATGTCCTGGCCTAATCTGCGTTGAACATCCTAACTCACTCTTGCCTCGTGCATGTGGTGCGTGCAGGCAGAGACGTTGATGGAGCTGCTGCAGGAGTGGGCGGAGAGGAAGGCTGCAGAGGCAGGGGAGAGGGAAGGAGAGCACGGGGCCAGTCGAATAAGTGTGCCATCAGGCAAGAAAGTAAGCAGCACTCCCTCCTGCTCTCGTCTCTGGTCTCCGCGAAATGGTCCTGAACGAGTGTTTATGTGAAACCTGAGTAATACGCTCCTGATTTGCTTCTGTCTGTTGGCACTGATTTGCTTCTGTCCATTATCGTTTCTTGACTCGATATCTTTCGTTCACCACCGCACCCCACTCCATCCCCACCGCGCTTCACCACACTGCACCACACATCCTACCAGCTGCACTTCATCATCCGCCGCTTCCTGCACGAGTTTGGCCGCCTGGAAGCCGAGAACGCGGCCATGCAGGTGCTGCAGGGGTCACGACCACTGCACCAGCCAGCAGCAGCAGCGGCAACCTCATCGCCAGCATCGAATTCAGCTCCAGGTGCTGCTGCTTCTGGGGCGAGCGGTCGTGCTGCTGCTGTGAATCATGGTGGCGTGCAGAGAAGGAGGCGGGTATCGTTTGGAGGAGACGGTGGTGGTGGAGGAGGGGAGGGTGATGAGGATGGCGGGCTGTTTGCGTGGCTGTGGGAGCAGTACCGCCGCCGCCTCGTGCTCAACAAGGCCGTCGACTTCTCCCAGTTCGCCCCGTGAGTAGCATTTGTGGTTCACGTGACTTTAGGGTCGACTCAAAAGTCACGCAGTACCGCCGCCACCTCGTGCTCAACAAGGCAGTCGGCTTCTCCCAGTTCGCCCCGTGAGTTACACTGCAGGTTTACAATCTGTGGTTCAGCTGTAAACTCCTCTTTCACGACAAACTAACACACTTTTCTCCTCCCCTTCTCTCCATTTCAAAACATAATCACGGCCCCTTTCTGTGCCATTGTGTTGGTGTGTGGCAGCAAGGCGGTGAAGTTGCTGCACGCACATCCAGAGATACTCGCATCAAGCAGCGTGAGCAGCAGCAGCAGCAGCAGGGAGCACGTGGGTAGCAGAGCCCGCACTGCTGCAGCTGCAGCTTCGTCCAGAAGCCACCTGCGTGTGTCGCATGTGCTCGGTACGACTCTCACCATCTCTTCGTCTTCCGTTAGATCTCAGCTTCCGCTTCCTGATTCTCAACACCTCACTCATCCTCCATCCCTCGTCCTGCTATCCATCTCCTCCGCCCCTCACCCAACTGTCTGTATGGAACCCATCCCCCCTCCCTGCCCGACTTCTTCCCTAGTTATCTTTCCTTTCCGCACCACCACCCCTCCCCACCTCCACCCCAACACGCGCCAGTGGACGAGTTCCAGGACACTGACAGCTGTCAGATGGAGCTGCTTCTGCTGCTCTGCCGCCCGCTGCCGTCCGTACCGACCCTGACCCTCGTGGCCGACGACGACCAGCAGATCTACTCCTTCCGCGGCGCCATGGGCCTGCCGAACCTGCGCCGCTTCCTCCGAACCTACCCGCAGGCTCGAACAGTCTGCCTCGACCAGAACTTTCGAAGCTGCGGCTCGGTTGTGGAGGCCGCGCGCCACGTCATCGCGCACAACCAATGGCGGCATGCCAAGTGGATGGTCACAGCAGCGCCAGTGGGCCCGCTTGTCTCCTTATGCGAGTGCCGCACGGATCGGTGCGAGGCGGCAGCTGTGGTCGGCAAGATCTGTCATCTAGTGGGGTCATGCGGGGTGCCGGCGAATCAGATTGCAATACTGTACCGTGTGCAGGCCGTGGGAAAGGTGATTCGGCAGTATCTGAAGAGCCATGGGATCAAGGTGTCTTCTGCTGCAACTGGAGGAGGGGGAGCAGGAGGCTTTGGAGGTGGAGGAGGGGGAGGAGGAGGAGGGACGGCAGGAGGAGGGGAATGGGGAGCAGCAGAGGAGGATGGGGTAGCAGTAGCTGCAAATGGTTTCATAGCAGAGGGGGGTAACAGTGCAACGGCTGGTACTCGGGGAGGGAGGGGGACGGGGACAGTAGGAGCAGTTTTCCATGATATCCTGGCACTCCTGCGATTGGCTGCCAATGAATCGGATGACGTGGCATGTCGGCAGGTCCTGCGCTTTGTTTGCCCGCCGCCCACCCGCAAGGTGGCAGTCTGTCTGCGCACGCTACAGTGCGCCCCGCACCGCATCTCCCTCCTGCCTGCCGCCCGCATGACTCGTCTGCACCTCCTTGGCATCTCCCGCTGCGCCGCCCTCTCCAACGTGTCTTCCACCGACCCCGGCGGTGCTTGTAACCGATCAGCAGGAAACAGCAGTGCTTATAACGGATCACACTCTACCCATGCACACAATGCAGCCGAACCTGCATGGCCCCACACACTCTCACCAGATGACACGGAGGTGTTAGAGGGAATAAGGAAGATGGCTGCAGCAGTATCAGAGCTGCAAGGCCTCCTGGGCATCCCCCCGCCTGGCTGGTCCTCTCCCCCTGCTCCTGCCTCCTCTGCTCCTGACTCTGCGTCTCGCCACCCTGCATGCAGGAGGAGAGGCAGTGCTGCTGGGATTATGGGTCTGGGTGGTGGGCCTACGTCCTTCCCTGCGTTTTTTCAAGGAGGAGGAGGGGAGGAGGGGGAGGACGATGGGGTGTCCTGTGAGGCTTTGGTGAGGTGTGCACTTCGGTTTGTAAGAACAGTGAGGGGTGGGGAGGGGCGGAGTGGTGCGGGTGTGGGGGCGGAGGTAGTGGTTCAGGGGGTGTTAGGGGGCGCCGGGGGAGGGGGAGTGGTCGGAACGGTTGGGGGAGGGAGAGGGGGTGGGGGGACAGGTGGAGGTTGGGCAGGTGGACGTGGGATGGGGGGGCAGGGGGGAGGCGCAAGTGCATTAGATCCGGCCATGTTTGCCGGTGTGAGAGCTCTGCTACTAGAGGCTGCGGCTTTTGACAGGGAGAGGAGGCATACGCGGCAGGCGATGCAGGCGAGAGTAACGAGTGCTGCAGCAGAAGTGGCGTCAGCAGCAGGAGCAGCAGCAGGAGGACAAGCAGCAGGAGGGGCTGCACTGAGGAAAGCAGGTGAAGGAGCAGAAGCAGTCGGGGGAATGGGGTTGGGAGATTTGCCAGGAAGGGTGGTGTCAGGGTGTGATGCGGGGAGCGAAAGAAACAACAGCGGCAACGGTAACAGCAGCAGCGGAATTAGCAGCAGCAGGCACATGGCCAATCCAGGCGGCTACTTCTCCCCAGCTACCACCCCTGTGAAAGACCGCTACAGTCCGGGCGGCAGCAGTGAGAGCAAGCAGGGCGGCAGGAGGCCGAGCTATGCTGACCTGCTGCTGCAGCGTGAAGGAGTGGTGGGAGTGGTGGGCGGCACCGGCATGGCACAGGCAATGGGGCTCGCCCGATGGTCCAATGCTGCAGGGGCTATCGCTGCAAGGCAGATGGATTTGGAAAGACGGATGGGGAAGCAAGGAGAGGTGGCATCAAACGATCCTGGTGCTGGTGCTGGTGCGGGTGGTTATACTCGTAGCGATGGTAATGATGGTGAGAAGGGAAATGACGAGAGGGAGTTGGAGAGAGAGGAGGATGGGGAGGAGGCGGAGGAGGAGGTAGTGGTCCAGTTTGTAGACAGAGTGATGGAGAGAGTGCATGAGAGGGAGCTCGGGGTGGGTGTGGAGGAGGGGTTGGGAGGGGTGGGGGACGGTGCTGGTGAGAGAGAGAGTGCAGGGGGACGTCTGGGTAGGCGAGCAGGGAGGGGGGGTGAGGGGAAGGGGCGGGGGAGTGGGGGGAGTGGGGGGAGGGAGAGTGAGCAGGACAGCGGAGGGGTGGTGCTGAGCACGATTCACCAGGCCAAGGGGTTGGAGTGGCAGGCTGTGATTGTAGTGAGGGCGAACGAGGGCGTGCTTCCACTGGTGGACTTCAGTAGAGTCACACAGGCCCCTGCCACTGCCACCGCCACCAACTACTCACCCACACCCCAAACCCTACCACCGACAACAACAACAATGACAGCAGATGCAGCGGCAGCACAAGGGGCATCATCGGGACCAGGTGCCTATAAGGCAGGGGGGGCAGTGGGAGGAAGAGAGGGGTGTGGGCGTGAGAGTGGGGTGCGGCCCCTTCCTCCTCTGCCTGCCATGCCCCCGGACTATGACGCTCAGCTGGAGGAGGAGGTGAGCCGAGATATTTGAAACTTTTAAGAATCATGACTTCTCAAAAACTGAGATGTCTCAAAGTTTGAAACTTTTCCAGCCTGCCAGGCCCCCAGTCTAGGACGCTGAGCTTGAGTAGGAGGTGTGTGGGGTGTGTGCATGTGTTTTCTGGGAGTGTACGTGCGCTTGGATTGATCCATCTGTGCATGTACATGTTCCTTCCTCAATGCATCTGCATCTTCCCTGCATCTGCATCATCCATGCTTAACTGCATATTCCCTGCATGTGCCCCACTATTCATCTCCGCATCGCAACAGAGGAGGCTCATGTACGTGGCGCTCACCAGGGCACAGCAGCATCTCATGGTCAGTGTGCACGCCTGCACTCCACCTTCCCTCCACCCATGCGTCACTCACAGAGCTCACTGAAGGCCGAGTTAACTGTCCAACTAGACACTCAATCTGTTTGCTTAGTTCTTTTCGCCTGGTATCACACTGCCCATTTCTCCTGCTCCTCTTTTCTGAACATGCTCCGCCTGTACTGCTTTTTCATTGGCTCAGGTCACTCATGTGATGTCTGCTTCGGGCCAACCAATGCTGCCATCCAGATTCCTAGCAGAGCTCCCTCCGTGTAAGCAATTTATCACCAACCTAGGTGATTCGAACGTGTGTACGCATTTTCGTACTAATTTGAATCCCGTTGAGTTTATCCTTGTAGACCTGACATGCCTCTCCTCTACTCATCAACCTATCATACCATCTGATCATGTGTTTACCCTGCCATCAAATATGCAGCTGCGGTGCATCGCACAACTCAGTACGACGAGAGGCCTACCAATCATGTGCAACAGTTCGTGTCACAACCATCACAATCGTCGTCCTAGATTACCGTATGATGTCTTGGATATCACGATGACATAATTCATTCCCTTTAAGCATGTTCTTGCTCCCAAATCTATTTCTTTGGAGGATATAAGAACTTGTTTCCAAAAAATGTAAAGGATGCAAAATGGCATGATGGGTATGAGAATTTTGTTATTTTCCAGTAAACAAATTGTGCAATGCTTTCCCGATTCCTGAATGACCGAACGCAAAAGCGATGCGCTTTTTAACAGGTCGAGTAATTTGCCCCTTTCGATGGTTCCCCACGGCTCCTGGCAATGCCAAAACAAGCCTTCGAGATCCAAGCGTTGTTTCTGTTCTGCTTGTGAGTGGGGAGTCCTACTAACATGCCGTCTGTCCAATGCCGTTTCTGCACATTGACGTTTTCTTCCGACGACGCTGCTTATGATCACGAGGAGTCGGCTCATTATCCCCAATTTACATGTCCCTTGTGCGACAGGGGCTTCGACTCAGTCGCAGGGCTTAGACATCACCAGACAGTCAAACACCCGATAGGAGTTTCATGTAGATTTTGTCCTATTCGCTTCGATTCTGTTCAGTCCGCCATTGCTCATGAGCTGGACCAACACAAATTTTACGTCTCCTGCAGGTTGTGCTCTCAGCGCTTCCAGTCAATAGAGGAGGCCGCGGCTCATGAGCTAAGGTCGCACGGCTTCTTAGCGACGTGCCGATTCTGTAACCAGTCCTTCGGATCGGAAGAAGCTGTACGCCAGCACGAGGCGAGCGTTCATCAGCCATCTGTTAAGTGCGAATTATGTGGCCTGTTTTTTAATGACCAGGAAGCAGCATGGGATCATGCCGACGACTCACACTTCAGGGATTATCGCTGTCGGTTTTGCGAGAGAGTTTTCGGGAGTGAGCATGCTTTGTCTCAGCACGAGGACGCCAAGCATCCCAGTGGGCAGATAGTGTTCTCAGGAAGGTACTACTAAACATATGGTCGAGCCTTTATGGATGCAATGCCTTGTAACTATTTTGTTGTCTCAGTACCAGCGTCAAAGCGATTTCTCTACATTCACGATGCTTAGGGCGGGTCCAACTTTGTACACTCCCGTTTTTTTCGTCATTTTGACGTCAATGGACTTGTCAAATTTGACATCCCCAGGGTGTACGCCTAACATTTCCTGTCCAGTTCGAGGTGTACAGTTCGGAACTATTGACGCAGTACAATAACGTCGACGAGTGTTTTCAAGGACAAAAACCATGGCTGGATCTATTTCAAATCATCAAGAATCTCGGCATCGAAATATTTCTTCGTGTTCTTCTGGACACCATGAGAAGTGCCTTTTCAAAGAGTCGGAGAAACGACAGTTGACTCTTAATACGTCCAAAATGGCTACATCTACAATTACTGAAGTGTTCGAAGTCAAAGAGGCCTTCCCGCCAGAAACGTTTAAACTGGAAGATTTCTGCTTAACTTACCCGTTCAACGACGTTGCCATTTCTAAGACTTTGGATGACGCAACGGAAGGTATTGTTCAAGATGGCGATGGTTGGAAGTTACAGGATGATCATCTGCAACTGCAGGATACTGATGGGAGCTTTGTAATTGCTCAACGCCATAAATTGCTGCATTGTTTTTCTGAAGGTGCTCGGTTCTCTGGAGAGAGGAGCATCAGTCAATGGCGTCGCGGCTTAGTGCTCGAGCTAAGAAGAAAGCCATGCACGAGGGACAGACCGGGTGCAGTGGCTGCTTCAGTTTTTACTTGCCGTCACTGTTACAGGAAGTTTCGTAGAGAGCCTGCATCTCTTGACCAACAGTTTCGGATCCACCCAACAAGGTTTGGAGCCAGAACCACTCTCCACCGCTTTGGGATCGAAGCAACAGCCACAGCAGCCACATTTCAATCGAAGCTGAAGGCAACACTCCGGCAAGAATGTGTGGACAGGTTTCTACCAAATCTGAAGTGTGGCAACTGCGCAAAGAAAGCTTCAAACGGGCAAGATACATTGTTTAGGCATTTGACTTATAAACCTCCATAGGAATCTGCGAGGGTACGGTAGACACTTATGCTACCTATGCCCTCTAGCTCCGGTTACGACCGACGGTGTTTTGCGTTGTACGTTGTATAATGCTATTTCACCTACCCAAAAAAAAAAAGTACAATAACGTTGCGAGGTACAGACCTGGGATTAAGGGTTACCAAAAATATCGAGAGTTTTCGCAGCTGTGACGGAGGGGGGAATTCAATGGCGAAAATCGATTTGACGAAAACGGGCGTTACTTCTTGACGTGTTTGACGCGAAACGAGTTGGGAGATGAATTGACGGTGAACATTCGGTCGTGTTTTGCACGTCCCTGGGCACGTTCCCGAAATGTTATCATGTATGTACAGTCTCGCGTCAAAATGATCGTTAAAAGTTCAGTTACATGCCTAAATGTGGTAACTGAGCTGAAAATTAATTGTACATGTACAGAGTTGGACCCGCCCTTATGAAAGTGCAGCAAAAATGAGGAGCACACTTCTTGTGTGTGGGTTAGACACACGGCTCATTATTTTCACGTATTTTCCGCTGTAAGCCTCAAGGACTGTTTTTGCGAGTGTACTCTGTTAACGAGCCCGTTGTTATGTACCATTGATTTCCCCTTCCAACAATCCCCGTTCCCCTTGGTATTGCATTCTCGGCGTCGCGCCCCAATTCCCATGAATTCGTCACTCTTCCTTCGACATCCCAAGGTACTGATGGTGCATACAGCACCAGCCGTCGGCACACCCCTTCCACGCCACGCCCTATTTCAGAAAAACCGACCTGAGGAGTTCGTGGTGTTAGCAACATCCGGATTTTTACCTCTTCAACTTAAAGCTGCGGTATACATTTGAAAGGAAGAGTTCAAAAACTTTTGAAATTTGAAAAGTTGCCCCAAACCTGTGAGGTTCACTCCCTAAACCCTGAACCCTGCTGACAAATGTATACTTCAGCTTTAAATTCCTTGTATCCCTAACAATATGCCGGTTGTTGAATGTCGATACTGCACTGACTCCTTTGATTCGGAGGACCAAGCGCGGGAGCATGAAGAGGAGGAGCACTGGCCCACGTATCCTTGCCTGATATGCGACCGTGGATTTGACTCTGTTCAGGGCCTTCGAGACCACAGGAATAAGAAGCATCCTCATCTTTATTGCTGTCGGATATGCAGCAAGTCGTTCGCATCCACGCGAGCAGTGATGGATCATGAACGGATGGTCCACACTCGCAAGTTTCCCTGTCGGATCTGCGACGAGACGTTTGATTCCGTCGAGGACGTTGCGACACACGAGCATGACTCTCACCCGATTTATGTGAAGTGCAGGCTCTGCGACCAAGAATTTGTTACTCCAAAAGCCGCTGGACAGCACGAGCAGGACAAGCACACTCCTCTCTTGTCGTGTGAGATCTGCGGAGATCGCTTCTACAATAAGGATCAACTCTTCGATCATGAAGATAAAGTACATCCGTTCACCTTCAGCTGCGACGTGTGTGACCGTACATTCAAAACTAACCACTCCTGCTTGCAGCACATGGAAGGAAAACATTATTGGGAGAGCGAGTATTGAATTTGGAGTTCTGGCTTTGCTGCAGCACCTCAGCCATGGGATGCTGGGCACAAGAATCTCCAATACTGCCTTCTTTTCAGGAATCCAGCGTTTTGAACACACGAGGCTGATGTTTACTACATCATACGTACTGGTTACAATAAGATGACACATTTTGTATTAGAGCCGCCTGCTGTGCTGTAGGGAATGACATTCCCCAATGATCAAAAGAACCTGCTGGTGCAGGCCACACATCATCAGTTGCACCACTGGCCAGCACATTCTCAAAAACAGGTGCAAGCGCTCTGGTGGGATCCTGTGGTTGGATGTTGACCTGCTGGAGGTGTATGCCAGTGCATGGCACTGTGTCACTGCAGCGCATGAAGATACCAAACTTATCGCGGACGAGTGCTGATATGTTCCGGTACCAGATATTCTGCAGAGCAACGTTGTTCTCACTGCCACCACACGTCCAATTCTGGTGCCTGTCACAGTAGAACTGCACAGGAGAAAAGGGTTGGAAAGATGGTATGGTTCACCATTCCAAGAAAACGGTTGAAAAGCATGATGGTATCATCTGAGCTCACAAACCTGATTCAGCATGATGGCTTTGCTGGTGTTCTTCATGTGGATGTTCTCGTAGAAGACATCTCGGACAACCCCAAGACCCCCTTGCCATGTTTTGATGCGGATGCCATTGGTCAGGTTGATGAGAGTCACGTTTACCACCCGCACCTTCGCCACGCAGCCCACATTGCCGTCCCATCCAACACTCCCGATGCTGCAGCAAATGACAGCACGAGTGAGGAAGGCTTGAGAAAATACAACAGAGTGGTGGGATGGACAACAAATCTGGAACAATGCAGACAAGGTATGCTGATCTGGTGGCGTTGTTAGGTGCATCAGAGTCTGACCTTATTCCGTGCCCCGCAGTTGCTTCCAGGTTCCTCACAGTGATGTTATACGCCACTAGCTCCCCCACTGCTACTACTGACACATCATCATCACCTGTATACACACCCATAGGACAACATCGACAACATCAGCTGTCATGAACCAAGCAACAGCAGCTACCACTGACAAGAAACAGCAGCTATCATTTGCACATACGAATGCTGCTGACCTCCATGCAGGAAGCACTCCTCAATGAGAGCGTTCTTGATGCCAACAAGCTTGAGGCTGTCCGTGTTGGGACTCCTGCTGGGCGAGTTGGTCTTGTAGCGCCGTATGTGCAGCCCATCGCACGTGTACGCAAAGAGGTGATACATTGGAGAGTTCCTGCAATAATGCAAAGTGGATGAAAAGCCCTTTGTTTCCACTCCAGTACACTTCACTCCGTCCTGTTCCTTCTGACCAGACGGACTCAATTTCACCAAAACCAGTAACCCAGCTTCACTGCAACGAACAACCACAGACGCACCAGATGGAGATCCCTTCCACCGTCGTGTTCTTGCAGTGCATCAGCCGGATTGCAAACGGCCTGATCGGAATGGTCTTCTGCAGGGTGTAGTTCCTGAATGCTTTCCAGAACTCCTGCCCCTGCCCATCGATTCTGCCCCCGCCCGAGATCACAAGGCCAGAGAAGTTCTTAAAGGAGAGGAAGCCGCTGGTGTAGGGGAAGTAGGTGCTGGTGTAGTCGGGAAAAGGGTACGCTGCAGGGTCCGATGGACCTACCAGGACCCCCTCAATCTGAATTGCCATTGATAGGTGCCAGGAGGTTGTTGTTGCGGGCGGGAGAGAGGGGGAGAGAGAAGGGGGAAATAGGGGAAAAAGGAAAGGACAGCACCGGTGGAGAAGTGAATCGAGGTGAAAGTGACCGGAAAGGGAGGAGCCATTAGGAAAGCTGTGCAAGTTCTCGCCTTCCCACCTTCCCTGACACTTCTGGACTCAAAACACTGACCTGCAATCGCATGCCAGGCTCACAGGACCCCTGCATGGTGATGGGCTGCACGGCATAGCAACCACCGCACGGCACCAGCACCGTCGCCACCACTCCCCTCTCTACCGCATGCCTTCTGAGACGTCTCAAATCAAACAATTTTACCTGCAATCGCATGCCCGGCCCACACGGCCCCTGCATGGTGATGGGCTGCACGGCATAGGAGCCACCCCACGGCACCAGCACCGTCGCCACCACTCCCTTCTCCGCCGCATGGCTGCACGCCGCATGCATGGCCGTGGTCACCGCATGTGTATCGTCCGTGACTGCATCCCCCACGGCCCCATACGCCACCACGTCATAGACGCCTGCGAGGGGTTGGGATCTCCACCGCCCCTGCTGCTGCTGTTGCTGGTTGTGCAGCTGCTGCTGCTGCTGCGCTGTGATTGGGCGCGAGCGCCAGTGCGGCTTCTGGAAGGAGGAGGAGAAGGCGGAGAGGAAAGGGAAGGGGGCGTCTGTGGACTGGCTGGTGTCGAGGACGAGGAAGGTGACAGCTGGGACGTGGGGGGGGGGAGATGGGTGGGGCGATGGGTGGTAAAGAATGGCTGGATATCGACTCACAAAACCTCCGCAGACTGGCTGCTGTCGAGGATGAGAATGGTGAGAGCTGAGTCGTGACGGGGAGATGCGGGGAGGGAGTAGCGGATCAGTCAGAACGGAAAAAAGAAAGGACGGCAGTGATGGATGCGGGATGCGGGCGAGAGAGATAAAAATGGCAAATGCGAAGCGGCCAGTAGCCCGTGGATAGAGCTCGTGGTGACTAGCTTGGATAGAGCCCGTGGCGCGCACCTTGGACTGTGTTGGACTGGCGGGACTTGGAGTGAAATAGCCTCTCCACGTACACGCCCTGCCATGGGGGCGCGGGGCACGCGGGTGAGACGGGTAAACGCGGGGGACGCGAAGGAGGCGGGGGAGGCGGGGGAGGCGGGGGACGGGGAGAACGCAAGGGATGCGGGGGAAGAGGGGAAGGGGGGGAAGCGGGAAAGGTGGCGACGAGGCACATCCATACCAGGAGGGCGGCAGCAAAGAGCATACATGACGAGAGGACGTGCGACAGCAGGTACTGTTGAAGTCGCACGGAAGTGCGAGGGGAGGTATTGTGGAGGTAGTACGGAGATGACATGGACGGACGCAGTACGAGCATACGTGGATAAGTGACTATTGAGATACCTCGAAAGGTGTCTAAAAAGCACACGGAATTAGGTTTTCATTAGAGAGACCAAATTTGGGAAGGGCGATAGCCGACAGAAAAGAGACCTCGTCGATTTGAAGGAGTGGCACCTGCAGAAGGAATGTGAGCGACACGGCGACTACTATCAGCGATACTGCGAGCAACCTCAAGCATCGCACGGAAACCACCGGGCGAAAGGAGTGATGTGACATCGTGCGATTGGCGCTCTCCTGCTGATGTCAGTCCATGTCAGAGCTATTTCTGACAGAGTGAGATTCAAAATTTACCGGTTACCAAGTGCAAGGGTGTGGCGAGTATGCGACGAACATCTGGCTTGAGATAACGAAATGGACAGTCACGATTCGTGCAAGAGTTGAATGCGATAAGTCAGCGAGCACAACCCGGGACTCTTGGATCTGCTGCCAGTTCACAGCCTGCAGCCACCCTCATTATTACCGGTTCTACATCTACAACATTTCCAATGCTTACATTTTCAGGTCTCACTCTTTCTAAGATATTGACGGAGATTTCAGCATCGAGGATATCGGAGTTGTCCATTTCGAACCTTCCTATTCGCACTCTTCCGCTTCCAATTCCAATCAAATTTCAGCGTCCTCGTCATCCCTGTTCCTCCGATCACCTGCTGAACCTCCTGACAGCAAACGAAAAGGTCGTTCATACTGGTAACCCCATCCTGCTTCGCGCAACCACCAACGAACCCTTTCACAGCAGCGTTTCTCTGCTTGCCCCTCAACAAGCTAAGTTGACCTGTTTCTTCTCCAGATAGATTGATTTATTCAGCCTCACTTTCAGGGGCAAATAAGAGCCTCCCGGCGCCGCTGCCGTGCCTCCCATTGCGGTGAAAGTGAAGCCAATAATAACGACGATGAGGAAATTAGATGGGATTCTGGCGTGCGGTGCTCTATTTCTGGGCCTCCACGCGCTGATCGCTTCCGCTCGCGATGTGATCGACTTGACTCCGGATAACTGGGAACTAGACGTGGGTCAGGATTTCTACATCTTCGTCAAGTTTTACACTCCATGGTAGGGCTGTTTTCTTCGCCCGTTTAATGTCCTACTTTCAAAGCAGTATCTTGTTTCTAATTTATCGTGCCGGTGCGACCATAGGCTTATTAGTCGCCTCATGTCGTCCCAAGCTTTCCGGCCCTTTAAAGGTGTGGTTGAACGTTCTTTTCAATGTAGGTGCGGACACTGCAAGCGACTCGCACCCGAGTGGGAGAGGCTCGCCGCTGCCTTCAGGGCGTCTGTTTACGTTCACATCGCACAGGTAGGTAACCATGCCGTTGCACATCAATACCTCATAATCTCTCCTATCAATGCTCGCTAAGCTTCCGCAAGTACTATCTCTACATAACACAATATTATGCACGGATGCGAACGTGGTTCATGTTCCGGTTCTCAAATGTTCTTCCCCTCCTCTCCAATGTCCACGGCAGGTGGACTGCGACGCACACAAGGAGCTCTGCGTTGACTTTGAGTTGACTTAAAAGTCAACTCTCCCATCTTCTCCTCCCTCCTCTCCAATGTCCACGGCAGGTGGACTGCGACGCGCACAAGGAGCTCTGCTCCAAGTTCGGCGTCAGCGGCTATCCCACGCTCAAATGGTTCCCTCGCAACTCACTCACACCCGAAACGTAAGATACACGTGCTTCCTCTCCAGCATTTATCCGTTTAATTAGTATAAAATTCTTGATACACTGGTGTGCATTCGCTCATCTCTCTCCTTCCCCGGCTTCACGCGCAGGTACACTGGCGATCGCGAGGCAGAGAAGCTGCTGGAGTTTGCCAACCAGAAATCAGGTCAGCCATTGAACCAGTTTGTCTTATCTATCTATACAAGCCGTCCATGCTGACATGGCAGTACCAGCTGATACCGTTTGTTATGGCATAGCATAATACCGGTTTCATTGGACGGAAACCTACCGAAGGGGGCGTTTTTCTCGATCTCCAAACAGACTTAGTTCCTGGCCCAACCCCACCAATCCACCTTTCTAAAGACTCATTCAGGCGTGTTTTGCTGCGTTCTCTGTATGTGATGATGCAGGGAGCAGAGCAGCACTGCCGGCAGGGAAGCCGTCATTGGTGGTGGAGGTGACGCCTGACAACTTCACAGAGATCGTCAAGGACAAGACAAAGCACGTTCTGCTTGAATTCTACGCCCCATGGTACTTATACTTCTTTCTCTCACGATTTCCTCTGTCCTCCCTTTCCCCCGCTTCTTTTCCCCCTCCCCATCCCCCTCCCCATCCCCCTCCCGCCCTTCATCTCTCTTCCTCCTCTTGCACACACGGGCTCACACTCACACAGCACATTGTGGTCACGCGCTGAAATACCCAACCCAACCCAATCCCTCTCCCAATTTCCCCCTCTCTCTGCTGTCCAGTTCTCTCTTGCTTCGCAGCTCTTGTCCGATTCCTCGCGTTGTAACCATCGCTCTCCTGTCCTCCCTCCTCCCTTTCCCTCGCTTCTCCTTCGCTTCAGGTGTGGAATGTGCAAATCCCTTGCTCCTGTAAGCCTTCATCATCCCCACCTCCTCGTGTTGCAAGGATGATAATTAACCACAGATGCATTGTGTGACCTGTCCTATCCCTACCATTTCTCTGTCCTCTATAAGAAGCTCACTTTTCAACACTCCTCAACTTTCATCTTCGTATGGACGCTCCGTTCCGCCTTGTTTCTCCGATCCACCCGCTTCCTTCACCATTCTGTTCTGTCCCACCTGCCCCTTCACAAAGCCACCATCCTCCTATGCATGCTCCACTCCAGTGGCTTCCTTCCTCAGATCACCCTGCCACTTCCGATTCCCCCCTGCCCCTTCCGATTCCCCCCTGCCCCTTCCGATTCCCCCCTGCCACTTCCGATTCACCCCTGCCCCTTCCGATTCCCCCCTGCACTGCTCTCTCGTTTCGTCTGTGCAGGATTACGAGGCACTGGCAGAGACGTTTCAGTATGAGCCAGACATTGTGATCGCCAAGTTTGATGCTGACAAGTACAAGGGCACCGTTGAGAAGTGAGTGCGTGTGGGGGGGGGGTAGGTAGGTGTGTTTTGAGTCGACTCAAAACACACTATGAGTCGACTCAAAACACTCATTAAGTCGCCTCAAGACACACTATGAGTCGACTCAAAACGCACCAGGACAACTGAGGCACTGGCAGAGACGTTACAATCCAGTACGAGCCGAACATTGTGATTAGGGGCAAGGTGGAAAAAAACGGTTGCGAAAAAAAACGATTGAAAAGAAAAAAATGATTTTTTTCGGTCCTGTTTGGGAAAAAAACGTCGTTTTTTTGTTAGGCCCAAAAAAAAACACACACAAAAAAAACCCAAAACAAATCCCCTGCCACCAATCTGATCACAACAGGTCGGAATCTGGCACACTCTGCACGTGCGGGAAGGCTGAATATGTGTGGGTGATTGGTAAGCCACGACTTCCACCAATCCTGTGTGCTACGTTGCCATAACCCAAAAAAACGATCGTTTTCTTGCACCCAAATTTAATTAATTAATTTTATCGTTTTTATCCGTTTTAAACGATGGTACGGTACGATATCGAAAATAACGACAAATAAATGAAAAAACCGTCGTTATTTTGCACCTTGATTAGGGGTGAGCAAAATCACGAACGCCTGTTCGGTTCGCCTCGAACACGTTCGAGGCAAACCGAACAGGTTTTTTTTTTTGTCTTAAGTGTTCGGGGCGAACATGTTCGATGTTCGCCCGAACATGTTCGTGTTCGGGGCGCTGCTGCAATTTGCCCCGCGTCGAACACGAACGTGTTCGAGGTTCGCCCGAACACGCCTTCACAGGCGAACACCGAACACCCTTTTTGGCTAAAAGTGTTCGCCGAACCGAACACTGTTCGGTTCGGCGAACGGCTGTGTTCGTGCAGGGGCGAACACAAACACGTTCGTGTTCGCCCCTTGCTCACCCCTAATTGTGATCACCAAGTTTGATGCCGACAAGTACAAGGGCACCGTGGAAAAGTATGTGTGAGAGAGAGAGCACCCCCTTTCTGGCTCGACTCGACCTGCCCTGCCAAGCTCTTATTCACTCCATTGTACTCCCTGACCTGACCCTTTCAGGGTGACAGGGTATACACACCCATGCTCTGTGTTCAGCTGGCCGGTTCGCCCCCTGCACTCGGTTCTTGCACCACTCTGCTAGTCCCTCTCATTCACTTACACGGAATCAATCCACAACAGATTCCTGCACACCCAGCTTCAATGCCAGTCAGAGCATGACAATCCCACGGTCATGCCCAACTGCAGCCGCATGACATGACAGTGGTTTGTTGTTTTCCTCCTCGGTTTCCCCATCCCTGCCAGGTACACGATCAAGGGGTGCCCTGAGCCACGGTGGTACCCCAAGGAAGGACAACAAGAAGGGTTCTTCATTAAACTCATAAAGCGCCTCATTGCTTGCGGTTCTTATGTTGTATTTTCTCTGTTTGTGTGATTCCATCCCCGCCAGGTACAGGGTCAAGGGGTACCCGGAGCTGCGCTGGCATCCCAAGGACAACAAGAAGGTTCCTTCAGTCCACTCATGAAGCTTCTCATTGCTTGCCGTTGGTTGTTTTTATCCATCCCCACCACACCAGGTACAAGATCAAGGGGTACCCGGAGCTGCGCTGGTATCCCAAGAACAACAAGAAGGGCGAGCCGTACCAGACGTCGCGCAACTTGCAGCCTCTGATCGACTTTGTCAACGCCAAGGCCAACACCTTGCGCAAGAAGGGCGGCCTCCTGGATGACGATGTATGTATGCTCGCCGTGTGCTGGACTGTTGAGTTGAGGCGCCTCAGGAGCAACCTGCAGTGCAGCCTCTGATGGACTTGGTCAACGCCAAGGCCAACACCTTGCGCAGGAAGGGCGGCCTCCCGAATGACGATGTACGTATGATCGCCGGGCGGGCGGTTTGACTTTTGAGCTGGCTCAACAGACGTTCACTTTGCCAACGCCATGGCCAACAGAATGTGCTGTGCAATAAGGGCAGCCTCCTTGATGTATGAATGCTCGCAGTGCTCTTTGACGGGCAGAACAGAGAGCAAAAAGCTATGCCTTCTCTTGAAGATGCTATGCCTTCTCCCAAAGAAGGTACACTCTATCCCCCTACTCTCCTCGGTTTCTCTGCATTGCGTGCTGGATGCATGCAGGTGGGGCGCATCAGGGATCTGGTCAAGATTCAAGATAGCAGTGCAAAGGAGCAGAGGAAGGAGCTATGATTCATCCCTTACTCTCCTCTGTTCCTCTGCGCTCGTTGCTGCCTGGTTCTTTCCCGGGTGCTGCGTGCATGCAGGTGGGGCGGATCAAGGACCTGGACAAGATAGCGGTGCAGTACGCCCTGGTGTAGGAACCATGCCTTATCCCCTTCTCTCGTTGCCTGCTGTGTGCTGCCTGCTGCCGGGCTCTTTCCTGCTTGCTGCATGCATGCAGGTGGGGCGGATCAAGGACCTGGACAAGATAGCGGTGCAGTACGCCCTGGTGTAGGAACCATGCCTTATCCCCTTCTCTCGTTGCCTGCTGTGTGCTGCCTGCTGCCGGGCTCTTTCCTGCTTGCTGCATGCATGCAGGTGGGGCGGATCAAGGACCTGGACAAGATAGCAGTGAAGTACGCCCTGGCATCTAAGGAGCAGCGGGTGCAGCTGAGGACGCAGATGAGCAACACCATCGACTTTCTCAACGCCAAGAAGGACCCGTGCGTGCCCCCTGTGGTTGTGCCCCCCTGAGTGTTTTGTGTTGACTTCAAACGCGTGAGACTGTATTCAGGTGTGTTGTGAGTCGACTCAGAACACACGTTTGAGTCGACTCAAAGCCCAGCAGAGGGTACAGCTGAGGGCGCAGATGAGCAACACCATCGACTTTCTCGACGCCAAGAAAGACCCGTGCGTGCCCCCTGTGGGCTTCTGAGTGTTTTGTGTTGACTTCAAACGCGTGACATTATATCCAGGTGTGTTTTGAGTCGACTCGAAGGACAGCAGAGGAAGGAGCAGAAGGACCCGTGTGTGCCCCTTGTGGCTGTGGGCCCCTCAACACGCCTTAACACATCGCCCTGATGTCTCGAAACATGATTGCCCTGTTCTCTGGTTGTGATGTCTCGAAACATGATTGCCCTGTTCTCTGGTTGTGATGTCTCGAAACATGATTGCCCTGTTCTCTGGTTGTGATGTCTCGAAATATGATTGCCAGTCAGTCAGTCCATCTTGTGTGTACCTCCCTTATGGCACCTCCCGTCCCACTCCGCCTGCTCCCTTCCTACCTGTCGTCTACTTCTTGGGGTGTGACGTCTGATTTTGCTCTGACTTGATGCCTGCCACCTGCCTCCCACCCCGCCCGCCCACAGCTATGCGCAGATATACATGAAGATCATCGACCACATTGACAGCAACGAGAGATACCTGGCAGACGAGTATGCCAGAGTTGAACGGATGCTCAAAACGGTAAGCCATTCCTCGTTCACTGCAATCTTTGTCCCCCCCACCCCTTTTCTCTCTTTTTTTTTTGGTTCATGTATTTACGACTTTGGCTGCACGTTCTGCTGACCTCCACTAGTAATGCCTGCAGTATTCCCCTTTGTTCCTCCTCTCCCTCCTCCACTCCTCTCCCCGTCCCCCCCCCATGCCTGCAGCCGCTCTCGCCCCGGCCAAGGTAGACCAGTTCACGGTGCGCAAGCACATTCTCACAGCCTCACAATGTAGAATGTTGTTCCTCCGTGTCCCTCCCTCTCCCTTCCCCACCCCTCTCCCCACCCCCCCTATGGATGCAGCCCCTCGCCCCGGCCAAGGTAGACCAGTTCACAGTGCGCAAGCACATCCTCACAGCCTCACAATGTAGAATGTTGTTCCTCCGTGTCCCTCCCTCTCATTTCCCCACCCCTCTCCCCACCCCCCCTATGGATGCAGCCCCTCGCCCCGGCCAAGGTAGACCAGTTCACGGTGCGCAAGCACATCCTCACAGCCTCACAACGTGGAACGCTGCTCCTCTTTGTCCATCCCTCTCCCTCTCCCGCCCCCACAGCCGCTCTCACCGGCCAAGGTAGACCAGTTCACGGTGCGCAAGCACATCCTCACGGCCTTCCTCGAGTTTGACGAGGAGGAGGTGGCCATCTCCTGAGCTAGGACAGGGATCAGGGAATAGTGCTCGGAAAAACAGCATTCAGTGTCGTGCATGTGGCAATAGGAGACGGTGGAAGGGGTGCAAGCAAGTGCCAACCACAAAAGACATGCCCTGTTCTTCTGATGGCCGGGTGGTAGGTAGTTTTGAGGCGCCTCAAAAAGGGGTTTCGCCATCAAGAGTTTAGTGATCGAAGCACTGTCGTTGTTTAACCGCGTCTATGCTGCATGGGAAGCCGTGGTTCTGCCATAATGCTGACATCTACAGTGCATGTTGCACATTGGCGGTATGGTCACCTGGAGCTGGTTCACTTGCTCGGTTTATTCAGCCCCTTAACTGCATTAACCTTGAAATGAATCAGCTTACACTGAAGATGGTATACATACAAAATACATCACATCAAGTCAACTCAAGTGACAGGTTTGGCGAGGTTCTTGTGGCCGGAGCCAATGCAGGAGAGGAAGACAGTGCCAGTGCTCTCATCAGGGCGGATGTCAAACTGCACGCCCAGCATGGCCCTCATGTCCCTCAGTGCGTCCACTGTGTGTGGCGTCAGCGGCCCCACCCGCACCCTACACAGCTCCTCTGGGCACAGCGCACACAGCAGCAGCACAAAGGCCTGTGGAAGGAAGGGGGAGGGGAGGACGGGAGAGGGGAAGGAGGGGAGGGGGAAGAGGGGTGCGAGGGATGGCAAGGGTGTCTGCAACCCCACCTGCACCCTACACAGCTCCTCTGGGCACAGCGCACACAGCAGCAGCACAAAGGCCTGTGGGAGGGGAATGAGAGGGGGAGAGGCAGGGGGAGGGGGAAAGTGGTGATGTGACGGCTTGAAAGGGTATCAGTTGTCCCACCCGCACCTGACAGTGCCTCCGGGTGCAGTCCGTACAGCGGGGCAGCACAAAGGCCTGCGGAAGAGGGGAAGGGGAAAGAGGGAAGGGGCGGGACGGGAAGGAATACTGTGAGGGCTGCCAAGGATGTCAGCAGCCCCACTCACACCGACCCAGCTCCTCCTGACGTAGTGCACACAGCAGCAAGAGAACGGCAGGTGGGAGGAGGAACAAGGGCAGGTGGGAAGAGGGGGGGAGGGGGGATTGGCATGTGAATGTATGGCACGATTAGAGGCACATCAGCCATGGGTCAGGCTGATGGCCGGAAAACACTGCCAGCATCCCACCATGGGTCCTGCCCCATGCACAGTATTGCCATGATAGCCCGACCATGAACAGTGCTCCTTGCAACTGTTTAGCATGCCTGGCCAAAAGGACGGGAGCAGAAACCGTGGATGGGATGTTGATGTGGGCCGTGCCGCCATGCTGTCATGCTACCATGCCATGATGCATGTGCATGCATGCATGTATCCGCATGCCTGAATCGGCAGCAGCAGGCCCGTCCTTATCTCCACAGACCGCATGCAGCTCCCTTTGCTTTCTGCCAAGTCGCAATCCTCACCTGTTGACTGCCGTCCACCACGCCTCCCTGCTTCACTTCATGCAGCAACAGCTGTGCGGCCTGCAACCCTAGATCTTCAGGCACCTCCTCCCCCTGCCCCCCTGCTCCTCCTCTCCCCCCTCTCCCTGCGCCTCCCCCCACCCCTTCATGTTCCCCCCGGCAGCTGGCAATGGCCCTCTCGGCACTCAGCAGGCAGCCGGACGTTGTTTCGGCGACCAAGGATATGCCAAAGCCAGGCGACCTGAGGCGTTGAGGGGCAAAGGGGACGGATGGGGACGGAGAGTTGAGGTGAGATGAGGCGGGGTTGTCAGAATGATGGAGCTGAGTGAGGGTCACCATTTAAACAGCATTGGGGGCAGAACAGAGGTAACGTGCATTTCAAAGTATGTCTTCTCAACCTGAATCAGCCTTGTCACCGCAGCACACAAAAAGAAAATAAGAAAAACAGCCAACCAACTAATTTACCTGCCCGAGTCTGCTCCCGAGAAGTGGTCAGTGAAGATGAAGACATCGGGCAGCAGGCGGTTGAGCACCCCTCTAGCCTTCCCTTCCCCCCCTCCCCAAAAAAAAGACAGAGAGAGAGAGAGAGACAACCAACCTGCCAGAGTCTGCTCCCGAGAAATGGTCAGTGAAGATGAAGACATCGGGCAGCAGGCGGTTGAGCACCCCTCTAGCCGCGTCCACCATTCGATTCGCCACCTGTGGCGCCACCCTCGCTGTGAACGCCACCCCCCTCACCCTCTTCACCAGCCCCTCGTCCTCCCACACCACTGGCTGCCACATGACCGGCGGGGCAGAGAGGGGGAAAAAGAGAGAGAAGGGTGTTCAGAACATCTACACACACAGCCATATCCACTCTCAACCTCCCCCCAAATATCCCCCACCCCCGCCCCTATCCCCCTCGTCCGCACCTCCAGCTGCTTCACGATTGGCAGGCGCAGCATCACCTCCCCGCCGCCCAGGGGCGGCGCGCCGCGGCGAACGAGCTTGAGCTCCACGTCCGCCATGTCCACGCCGAACCGCTTCAGGATGGGCAGCGTGGCCGTGCGCAGGGTGTCTATGCTCAGGTCGCGGTCGTCACTCGTCACCCCTGCGGGTGGTCGCGGGTGGGTGTGGTTGGGGTTTGTGGGAAGGGAAGAGAGTGGAATGGAGGGATAGTGGGGGTAGTGTTGGCTGGGAAGGCAGACCGAACTAGCTGCTTGACAGGCACCGCACTGCACCGCCCCTCACCACAATGTGGGCATCTCCTTAGAGGCTCAAGCATGCTGCAGGTGTCTTACCTTTTAGTGTGATATGAAGGGTTTTTTTCCCAAATAGCCCGAGCACGAAGAGGGGTTGCAGGAAGTAGCCTATGGCGCGCGACGTGCCGCAGTCATGCGTCAGGTTCCGACCGCCGGAGAGCACGCCGGGGCGATATCTCAATTTCGTTCCTGTAACGAGCAGGGGACGCAACACGCGAGGGTGGGTGGAACACCTGGGAACGCGATTCGGTCCTACGAGAGAAGCAAAAGAGCGAAAACCACGGAGAAATTCCTATGAGGCCGAAATACCATCCTCCAGCCATTAGAACCTTCCAAGCAAACCCTAGACCCTGAAACCAGAGTCTCGTCGGGTGTGAGCTGACCTGTTTCGTTGATCTCCACGACGCAGCCGTTGGAGATCTTCTCGAGCAGTCTCAATAGCGACGCCTCGTACTCTGTTAAACCGGGGCTCTCTGCCTCTGCGCGGATGTCGTCTATTCTAATAGCGCGTCCTGATAATGTCGCGTACACCAGACGCTGCCGGAGATTACGCGACCCTCTAAGACGTATCACCATTTCGTCACAGTGAATGAATGACTTTGTAACGGTCGGTTTGCCGGCTTTGCTTCTAGGTAGCCTGAGTTGGGGTGTCAACGAAAAATAGTAGACAAAGCACAAGGTATCAGATGGGCTATGGCAGAATTCTGTTCCTTAGGGCCAGATTGTACGCGTCAAAGGGAGTCGCATCAGAATGACAGTTTTCATTGGCCGTACAATGCTTCAGGTCTTGCATACTGGTACACTCATAATCGCCTCAATTTGAAATCGCAACTCGCTAGGCGTTATAACGCGGATGACTGGTAGCTGGAAGTTTGAATTCCCAAATTGTGCACCCCCCCACCCCCATCCTCCCAATTCTCGAAGCCCATCGCGTCCACCAAGGACCCATTTTCCGCCGCCTCGCTTCGCTTTCCATTTGCTTCCTCTGCTCTACCCCCTTGGGTTCTCCTCGTTTTTCTTCCCGCAAGCCTGTTTCCCCAGGGCAATCTCGATGGTACCTGCTCGCTTGAAGTTCCAAGTTCCAATCCTCCACTCGTTTCCCGCGCTTTTCTCGATCTCCTCGACCGGCTCTCCCCGCTGCCTGTTAGTGCTGAAACGCGCGTAGAGTAGGGAGGGAGTGCAGTTCAAGCTGACGTTCAGCTCGCCTCGACGGACATTCAACCACCCTGCCACCCTTGATTCTACCGTAGCTCCCGTGTAGTGTAGGTCATCGGCAGGCTTTGCTCTCACAGTCTGGACGTAGCACACCAGATTACCAGGTGGTTACCATTAGACAAATTGCGTGCTTTTCTTGCGTTCGCGACGCGCTTTTCTTGCGTTCGCGTAGTTTCGCTCCAATCAGCTGCTCTTCTTTAAGCTAGACACCAGGGCATGGGCGGTAGGAGAGCGAGTGTCCACGTGGTTTGATTCGCTGACCGCCGTCCCTTTCCTGATGACATGAGCAACTACTATGATTTAGACGACATACTGGCCGAGGATGAGGTGGGTTAGCCTATTTTTACGCTGTTTTCACCCGTATCAAGCCTCCATGGTTTTTCCCGCTTCCACTTCGGTAGTTGTCTGGCCTCCTCATCGTCATATTGGTGGCGTGCCTTTCGCAGAAACTTCCTGTTACGTTTCGGACCGGAGCGACTGGAGTGGGACGAGCTCTAGACCCGAGCACAGACGCCGATGACGTAAGCATAGACACCTATTACATCAGCGTAGAACGCTAACGACGTTCAAGAAGGCGCTGCGAATGCATGCCCTTCAGACGCAGACCTGTCTTGAAATACGTTTTGGCGAAAGTGCTTCCAAAGCTTAATCTGCGTAAACCTTAGTTACAATGTTCACGCACTCTCCTCCCTGTTCGCTTTCCTGCCACGTGGCCTCTTATGCTGCTACGTGTCGTCCATGTGTGTTCCGCCAGCTGGCAGTGGGCGCAAAGGTGGACTTGCCGGTGTGGATGGTGCCGGCTCTAGCGAAGCGAAACATGGTGTCGGCCCTGGAGCCCAGAATGTTCGGCGAGAGGTGAGCATGAAGCACCCATCGTTATAGTTTTAGCTTCGGCAATGGGCGAGGGCAAATTAGCAACACGCGGTATAGAGTTTGCTTCAGCAGTAGGTGAGGATGAAGCAGCCCAGCATTAGCCTTCGCTTCATGGGGATGACGCAGGCCCCATCAGAGCTTATGCGTCAGCGACAGGTGAGGCAGCAGCAGACGCTACCCGTAGTGTCAGCTGTAAGCGAGGCAACAGCAAGCTACGTGAGGTTGGCATGGCATAGCCAACAAAAGTGCACGTGCGCTTTCCACTCTTTGATTTGTTCAGCTGTTCTCTCCAAAGGTAGATTTTATTTCTGATAACTTCTGTTTTCCATGATAGCTGCAATCAGCAATTCATGACCACTCTTTTTCTGGGATGCTTCCTGGTTGTGTCACCTCTTGGTTTCCAACAGGATTCGGAAGGAGGTGCAAGCTGACGCTGCGTGTGTCAATCTCCGTGCCTGCTCGCCCTACTACTACTCCTTAGGCACAAAGATTGCACCCTGGTAAATTGTCTCTAGCCCCATGCGTGCTGATCATTGCCTCCATGACTCTTGGTCGCGCCACTCCCTTCAGCTCCATCCACACGCTTTGGTAGAAGCCTGATGGATTTTGTTTATTGGATGCGTGACCTTACAACGTTTTTCCCAACTCATACTATTTCGCCCCCACACCCCTCTCCGCTGGCCCTGCTCTGGAGTGGATCCCCCGTGCTCTGCCTGTCAGGGTGCGGGACAAGACTCTCACGCGCTTCCTATTCACAACCTTTGTGGAGCGCTACGCTGACCTGCTCACACGTGCTTTTGTGCTCCCGGAGAAGGAGGTGCCTCGCGTGCGCCGCCTGCTGCCCAAGGAAGAACAGCAATGTGCGTGCGTGGTACTGGGAAAGGGATTGAGCAGGGGGGAAACGGGGATGAACAGGGGGGGGTTAGTGGGAATCCGTGTGGTCTGTGTCCATCAGTGTGTTTTCCAGCTCAAGTTTTGGGGTGTGGGACATGCAGGGAGTATATGGGTTGGTTTCTGTGTTGCCCTGGTCAATGCAGATTGGGTTGCAAGTATGTTGTCAAACAACGCTTTTATTCCTGTGCGTCCCACGTTCTCTCCTTGGCTGTTGGCAGTGCTGTCTGCAGGGTACGCAGCTATGCGTAGGTACACAGCGTGGCAGGAGCAAACTTGTAACCGTCTGTTGGTCTCTCCCATTCTGGGGCGCAGCCTCTCTCGCAAGCGTGCCAGGCTGCCATTCGCTGATGTGAGCAACAACAATGGCAACACAAGTGCCAGCACTGATGGTGGAGAACGAGGGAAGGGTGGAGGAGGATGGGGAGGTGGAAGCACATCAAGCAGTGGTTGGGTTGGTGGTTCTGTTGGAGATGGGTTTGATGGGAGACCCGGTGGGAACCAGAGACAACGGAGGTGATGACAAGGGATAAAATTCTTGTGCATGAGGTGCAATTGATATGTTTTCATTTTCTGTTTGGGTTTTTATTTCTATGTAGTTACTGTTTAGTTTAGTTACATCCTCAGTCACTTGTTCCTGTACAGCTCATAGCAATAGCCTGAAGCGGAGTCGTAAGCTTGAAGCCGCAAAGAAGCGGTGCTGCGATGTGGCCACTCCCCTGCCCTGTCCATCGCGTTACCACCAGCAGCCGTGGAGTTTCGCTCCCGAAGCCGCTTTGGGGGTTCCACGTATGCTGACGACGGCAAAGGGATAGCAAGCAGCAGCCATGAACACCTCGCGAGCCAATCATAACATAAATGCTCTGCTTCGCAACCCATAACCACGTGCACATGGTTTCGCTGAAACCACAGCCCAAACGCGTCTGCCTCCTTGCGAATTTTCCGCGTCGCCAGCCGTCGGACGAGTCTGCCAATTTCAAGGCCCCGCTCTCGGTTCTTCGGGAACTACCGCGTTCTTGGATTGGATCCCAGTCGCCTGCATCCCAGTCGCCTGCATCCCACCCCCCGCTCGACCTGACTCGGCCCACCTTCCCTCCAACTCCATTTCCAGCCTTGGGAATGTCTGCGTCTGCCCAACTGTGGGATTCACTCACACACACACAGCCAGCCAGTCAGTCCCTCCCACCGCCATCCCCATCCATCCGCTTGGCGCCAGACTTCTTCCTGAATCCGCTTAGTGCTCCGGCCTTCACGTCCCTGTCCTGTCCTGTCTAGTATCCAGTAGGCCTTTCTGACCTGGAACAGTTTGCACCCGTCCCTCTTTTATTTGTGGGACGGGTGGATCATGTGTCATTGCAGCTCGGACCACCCATTAGCTCATGTTACTAACTCATGTAGTTGAGTTAATGGGATCACCATCTTCTAGAACGGTATAACTTAGGCGTCCGCTCCGCACCCCCCCAACCCAAGCTGACTTTTGAGAGGACGTTACGAAAATATTTCCTGACATTGGCTGATCAAACTGACTGATACTTGCGCGTTTTACTCGGTCGCATAGTTTAGGTGCGTGTCGACAAGCAGTCCTCGTTTCAGTTCACGCAGAACGAGACTCAGGCGGGCTCGGCATTATTCAGTAGTAGTACCTTCAAGTTCCAGGTTCAGGACATCCCATTCATGTGCGTCGTAAGCTAGAAATCCTGTGCAGCTTAGACATTTTTCAGTTTCTGCGGCATAGACACACGGGGTGTCTTGAGTCCTGTCGAGGCCACTCGAGCACAGACCGCTGTCAAACGACTTTTTGGTAGCTTTGCTGCTTGCTTGTCAATATATACTGTCACACATCGTACTCCAACCAGCGCGCGACAAAACGATGACGGTCGTCAGAATCGCAGGACCTCGCAGAATCACTTCTGCGACGTTCGCACAAGCGCCTGTACTCCGCATGCGACTAACCATCCGATACCATCACCAAGGCCGCCATTACCACCATTGCTGTCTCCTCCTCCTCTTATTATTTCTCATCCAATCTCTCTTTCCCGCGCCTCCCGCCGCATTTGCCGCGACTCTCACCTCGGATATCGCGGCGCTACAGGGCTTCCTGCAGGAGCCCACCAATCAGGCGAAGCTGAGCGACTGGAAGTCAGGGACGGACCCGTGCGGCACTGGCTGGTTCGGTGTGAAGTGCGCCGCAGCCGTTGGATCAAGTCCTACAGCAGCCGTTGGATCAGGCCCTGGGAGAAGCAGTGGTAACGGCAACGGTAGCAGTACCAGCAACGGAAATAAAAATGGACAGGCCACCACGGGGAAGTTTCAATATGTAGTGAGATTAGACTTGACCGGGGTTGGGTTAACTGGCTCTTTACCCACAACGTTAGGATCACTGTATCAACCTACTGCTATTGTGCTCAGCCGCAACACCTTCTCAGGCTCGTCTATTCCGAGTCAACTCGGCCAGTTAACGAGCCTACAGGCGCTTCTGCTCACCAACTGCCAGCTGGTTGGGTCCATACCTGACAGCCTCGGCAGCATGACGAGCCTGACGTACCTCAGCCTCGGGCAGAACCTGCTGGAAGGTCCGGTACCTCCGTTCCTCTTCACTTCTCTACAATCCCTGGCGATTCTTGGCCTGAATAACAATAACCTAGGCGGGGTAATTCCCCCAGAGATTGCCTTAGCGCCTCAGCTGCTGAATCTGTCGCTTCACGTGAACAACTTGACTGGTAGCATTCCAAGCACATTGGGCAGTGGAGGTGGGGGGTTGCAGCTGAGACAGTTGCAGCTGCACCAGAATCGGCTCACAGGGACGATACCCGGGTCTGTTGGGAACCTGCTGGCGCTTGAAACGTTCACAGTGTACAGAAACGCGCTGCTGGGGCCTCTCCCGACTTTCATGAGTAAATTCCCCTCCAGCTCGTACCGGGAAAATGGATTCTGCAGCAGCCAGCCGGGGGGGAGTTGCCCTGCTGATGTGAATGCCCTGCTCGGGTTTCTACAAGGGGTAAATTACCCTTTGGCTCTGTCGACGACTTGGATAGGAGCTGTTCCATGTGGTTCTCCTAACTGGCTCGGCGTTACCTGCTCTCCTGGGAGGCAAGCCTCAGTCGTAGGCCTGGTGCTGCCGAACCTGGACCTGACAGGCTCGGTGACGTCGTCATTGGCGAACCTGACGTCATTAGCAGCCATAGTTCTCAAGAACAACAACTTAAGCGGCTCCATTCCGGATTCCCTCACGTCTTTAAGCCAGCTAACCCTGCTTGACGTCAGCAACAACCGCCTGTCCGGCCCTTTGCCTGCATTTTCCTCCCAAGTCGAGCTGGTTACCACTGGTAACAGTTTTGGACCGGCGCCAACACCAGCTCCGTCCTCCGCCCCTTCCCCACCATCCGCCCCCTCCCCTGCCCCTCCTTCCTCCTCCCCACCTTCTTCCCCCGCCCCTGCCCCATCCTCCTCCCCCGCTCCCCCATCTAGCCCCACACCCCCGTCCATCTCCCCCCCATCCTCCCCCGCGCCCCCATCGTCCCCTTCCCCTGGAGTCCCATCCCCCCCTTCCGCCCCCTCCCCGTCCGCATCAGAGGCACCTGGGGGCACTGGTGGCGGGACGGGCGCAGGGGCAGGGGTGGTGGCGGGGGTGGTGGTGGCGGCAGCAGTGGTGGCGCTGGTAGCGGGGCTGGCTGTGGGGTGGTGGTGCTGTCTCCGGCCAGGCAAGGGCAAGAAGCCTCCCCAAACGGCCCCCCACCCCGCCACCTCCTCCGTAAACCCTTTGGCAGCACCTGGACCGCCAGCAGCCGGAGCAGGAGCAGGAGCAGGAGCAGGAGGAGCAGTGATAGCGCATGCGAGGTTGGCACTGGGAGGCGGGCTGACAATGAGCATAGAGGTGATCCGCGAGGCAACGGGGGGGTTCTCCCCCAGCCACGTGGTGGGGAGGGGCGGGTTCGGCACGGTGTACCGGGGGGACATGCCTGATGGGAGCACAGTGGCGGTCAAGAGGATGGAGGCTGGACCCGTCACTGAAGCCGGCACTCGAGAATTCCTGGTGAGTAGGGTGGACAGTGGGTGGACAACGGGTGGATAGTGGGTGGAACGCACAGCTTTGGCACGGTGTACCGTTGGGATATGCCTGATGGGAGCACAGTGGCCGTCAAGAGAATGGAGGCTGGACCTGTCAGTGAAGCAGGCACTCGAGATTTCCTGGTGAGTGAGTAGGGTGACTCAAATATTTCGTTTGACACAGCCCACAGTCCACAGGACACCTTGTACTCTCCTTCCACGCCACTTTCTTCTTCCTTCCCCCATCCTGCGAGTCCAAAGTGGCAAAATGCTCTGCCAGGAGTGGCCGTGTCCTGCCTCTCTCTGCCCTTGCACCCTCCCATCCCCATCCGTGCCCCTCCCAACTCTCCCCCTGCGCCCCTCCTCCCTGCTAGGCGGAGGTGGCAGTGCTGTGCAAGGTGCGACATCGCAATCTGGTGGCACTGCTGGGCCATGTCATGGACCACCACGAGCGCCTGCTCGTGTTCGAATACATGCAACTGGTGAGTCGTCCGTTGTTGCGCGTGTTTGGATACATTCACCTTGCGAGTCGCTCTTGTGCATATTCGTGGTTGACGGATGTGGTGGGAGCGAGGGGCTGGCCCTGCTAGGCCGCATTCATTTCGGCCCGACTGTGTTCGCAGCAAGAGAATCTTTGGAGTGGGCAAATGATGCGCAACCATGTCGCAACCATCACTCAGTCATGTGTATGTTCGACCAACCTTCACATTACCTCCAACCCAACCTCCCCTCTCACCCCACCCCACCCACCCATTCACCCCACCCATCCTCCCACCATCAGGGGCCGCTGAGTCAGCATCTCTTTGACCCCACCCGCCATGGCCACCGCCCGCTGACGTGGACGGAGCGGCTGGTGGTGGCGGTGGACGTGGCAAGAGGCGTGGAGTACCTTCACAGCCTGGCGGGCGGCCGAGACTCCATCGTGCACCGCGACTTAAAGCCCGCCAACGTGCTTCTGGACGGCCGGCGCCGCGCCAAGGTGGCCGATTTTGGCCTGGCGAAGCTGCTGCTGCGACCGATGCTGCCGCCCGGGGGAGGATCGGGGAGGGACGGTGGCAGAGGGATGGATTCGGAGATTGCTCCGTCGGTTGAGACACGACTGGCTGGCACGTTTGGGTATCTGGCGCCTGAATACGCAGGTGCGAGTGGGATGGGTGGGTGGGGAAGAGGGTCAAGTGAGATGGGCAGAGTGGATGTGTGTGGGTCAAGCGGCAAGGCAGATTGGGCTTGTGGCTGAGGGAAAGCCAGATTGCGAAGGTGCTTGTCACATCATCCTACTCCATCCTGCACTCCTCCAAATCCCATCCAACCCCATCCCACGCCATCCCCATCTCATCTCATCCCATCCATCAACTTCCCTCCTCAACCATAGCCTGTGCCCCAATTTTCTCTCTCCCCACTCTCATCCCGTCTGCCCGCCAGCTATGGGCCGAGTGACAACACGCTCGGACGTGTACAGCTTTGGCGTTATCCTCATGGAACTGTT